TCTGAAAAACATGAATTGTCCCCCAAAATAAAAATACCCTAAATTATTAAAAATTGAACAAATGTATTTTCAGACTTCACATTCTTCACATTTTAGATTCTTTTTTCGTCTAAAAATAAATGATTGAAATGGTGGAACAAATAATGTTTGACAAATATATTTCTGACTCCACATTCCATCTCTGGTCTCCTCCACTACAATGCAAATGAATGGGTAGTTTCTTACACAGATGCTGATGACATCAGCAGGCTTTAAAAAAAACATGGTGGCATGGTATGAGTTGCATACGGGCAAAAAAAAAGAAAATCGGAACTGCACCCCTGGTGCTGCCGTTGTCCTAAAATGTTATGTCCCATTTAATATTCAGCTTATTTTTAAATCAGTAATAACACAACGTATATCCCAATGTCAAATTATTTATGATTGCTTTATTACATACTCATCTACCTTAAAAAAGTAGATTTATAAAGTCAACTTTTTCTAGGAAATGACACAGCTATCCAAAGATAATCTCTTATGTCTGAGCAAGTATACAAGTGAAGGCTGGAGCAGGAGAGGACAAACGGAAACTCACAATATCCTGTTCATGCAAACCTGAGATTGGCACACTACCCGACTGACTGAGGAGAAAAAATAAACAGAAAATAGAAGAGTTTTGATCAAATATACTGAAAACACCACTGAATGTTGTTGTTACAAATCCTTTATTGATTGAAATATTTCAAATGCAAAGTAGACAACGCAGAGCATGTAGAAATGCATGCATGTGCACATTACATATTTTGAATATGTTCCAGCTCACAGTGGTTAAGATTGCGTGAATCCATTCCTGAGGGATTTGGGTTTGCAAAATTTTCTCTTTTTAAATCTTGCAGACCAGAAGTTCCCAAAGTAGGTTGCATAGCCCTCCTGGGTAAGTGTAAAGTGTCACAACATTGGAGACAAAGGGATGAAATAATATAAATAAGTCATTGTTTGGTGTGTTTTAAAGAAACACAAGCCTCACGGCTCCAAGTAAAATGATTGAAACTGCAGCTGCACAAAGTGAGCAATGCACTGACAAAGGTGTTATCTTATTGCACTGGTATTATAATTATTAGAAAGCATATTTGAGATTTTGTATTAAAAAACACATTCCAACTTCCACATCTTTTTCACAAGATAGCACAAGTATGAGTCGCTGCCAACTTAAATTAAATGAGAGTATGTCTCATGTATGCAGACCATTCTTTTATTTTGGCAGCTACCTTTTCATTGATTGCAGTTGTTCTTTTGCCCCATAAGAAAATAATTACCACCAATAACACTGCAAATATAAAATATATATTTGGCCTTTGTCAATCTCTGAGTGACAGGTTTTTCCACCACCAGGTGGTGATGGAATATCAGTTTTACTATTTGAATAGACAGGGTGGAAATAAAATAGATGCCAGCCTTGTGTATGTGTGTGTGTCTGTTAGTGGGTGGATGTACAGCCTACAGCTTCAGAAGGTGGTCTTCTCTCAGCTCCTGCTCTGCTGGTTTCTCCTCACCAACCAGAGACCTGCTGGGGAACAACCGCCTCATGACCATCATATCCTCGCCTACAAGCAGAAAAACAAGGACAGATCAGACTACATGGAGCAGGAAATAAAAAGAAGGACCTAGAAAACTTCCATCCAAAAATTCCATGCAAATCAATGCTGTTTCCTATAAAAATTACCTTTCTTTTCTTCCTCTGTCCAGGACTCGCCAGAGCCTGTCTCACTTTCAGCATTCACAAAGGAGGGCCAACCGTCCATTAATGTGTCTGCAGAGCCTTCATAATATCCAGAACCATCCTCAGGCTGAATAACATCTGGTGACTCCCCCTCATCACCAACATCACTCATCATGGGTGCGTCGTCCTCCTCCATCTCTTCCTCCTCTTCCTCGTCCCTCATTGGACTCTCATCCTCCACAGGCTCTGCCTCTCTAGAAAGAATGAGAGTTTGTTTATGTTATGATTTTTCCATAAAAGAAGTTCAACAAACGACAAACTTATTTATCCTTTTACAAATTCAGAATCTGAGTATGCAAATATTTTTAAAGATGTCTTCTACTTCACTGTACAGTCTATTCTCAGTATAACTGTGCCGAAGGTTTAAAGTTTCCACATTACACACCACTGAAAGTTTGTAAGTTTTCCCTATCTACACGTCTTAAACTCACATTTCATCACTCAGATTAATTCTAAAAACAGTCTTATAGTTTCAAACATTGCACATTAGAGCTGCAGCAAGATTAACCGTCACTGGTTCCAGCTTCTAAGATGTAAGGATTCAATGCTTCTCTTGGTCATGTACGATGATGATGATTGTACAAGACATTTGAATATATTTCAGTGGGCTGTGGTAAATCGGATATTTCTGATATTTTATAAACCAAACAATTAATTTAGAAAACAATTTATAAATAACTTGATAATGAAAATAATTGTTATTTGTAGCCATACTGCATGTACTTCATTCTGCACCGTGACAGTAACAACAACCACAACTCATTCTTGACTTGTGGTGGCTTTAAGGGTCCAGAGTTGGGTGTTGCTTTGTTTACGTTTTTTCATGTCGAAGCTGGAGCTAAAGCTAACCCTAACCCTTTAAAAAAGGACAGAGGCATATTTACTATTTTGGTTTTAATTCCAAATGAGCAGATATGGGTGTTGTATGTGTATGACAATCAAAATTAAGACCCATTAACAGCATTATCTTAACTTCAACTGAATTAACTTAACTTAAACCGACTGAGTCATTAATCATATTCTGATTTCTATGAACTTCCATTCGAGGGCTGTTGAAATAAATTAGTAAAAGTAAGTTTAATAATTTAGTTTAATTACTAGGTTATGGTATTCTTTTTACATGTAATTTTGTACTACTTAAATATGAATATCAGACTAGTGTGGTACATACGCAGACACAAAACAATAGACCAGAAGCAGCAGCCCACCAAGAGTCACAGCCACTTCCTCTTAACACTTCCCTCTGGCTTCCTGTTCAAGGCGAGCTGCAAAAGGAAGGGCTGCTGCTGAAGCCCCGGTTTAAGCAAGCTGAAATGATGTAGGAGGCCAGATGTCTAACAGCACACACCTTCTATAGGAATAGTTTACATTTCTAAAATTATTCACTTTCACTCACTCTGTCTCCCACCTTCATTTCCACTTACTACCTTCTGACCTGTACACTCATCTCTCTTTTCCTTTGTGTCTCTGCTCTGTAATCATTTACAGAATTACTTAATAGAAGCTTCACAACCAAGTCATGTAATAGATCTTTTTTACAGCAACCATTTTTGACATGAAATAGTGAAACACAGGTGTTACCAACAATACTAATTAATGTTCCGTTCACTTTTAAAGTAACAGAGGCTTTCCAGTGAGCCAACATGCACAGAAACAGCACCCTGACTCTGTTTGGACCTGAATGAAACGGAGCCTTAATTAGTATCATTGGTAACACCTGTGTCTACTCTACTATTTAATGTCAAAATGGCTGCTGTGAAAAAGGTCTATTTTTAACAAATTTTATTGATAATAAAAAATATTGACAGATAAAATAAGAATGTCAAAATAAATATTCTGTCAGTGTTTTTTTAAACAGTTATATGGGAGTTTCCATTGTTATTTATATGCAGAGCACATATTAAACCCATTGAAAACACATAGTGTGATTTCAACAACATTGTAGATGGACTGTAGCTAGTAAAAAACATGATTTGTGGTATTCATTTTTCAAAGGTTTTAACTGATAGGATCGATGTCAGTTAAGAGGAACTCTAAAAGAGGGAACTGGTGGTTAAGACTAAGACTATAGAGACTAAGACACACACACACACACACACTGGAAACTATTCAAAATATGGTTCACCAACTCTTTCTTGTGCTTGAAGAGTTGATGTTTTGGGTTTCTTTTAAGTAATTGAAACTGTGAAAAAGTTGGTCATGCGGAAACAAAAAACTGATGAACTTTTCACACCAAAGGCCAAAGGGGGCATGCAGATTGGTATATGTGTATGGATATTAAGTGTGTGTATATATTAAGACTTCTGAGTGAGAATGATATGAGGTAAAATTTAACAACCTGGATGTCAGTTTGACATTACTGCTCAGCCAATTGTTATAGAAATTGATAAAACAAACAAATATAATGTTGTTTGTCAACTGAAAGGCTTAAATGTGACTAGAAATTGATAATTTTTCCATTTATTGTAAGGCACATGCATGGTAATGACTTGTTAACCTTTGTGAACATCCAACATCAAAATTAACAACCACACACTGAAATGAACAACGCGTTTCACCTGCAGCTTCCTCAGGTTTGCAAGTATTTTTAGTCTTTCCTTAAAATAATCTTGATATGGTAAAATGATCTTTCAGTGCAATGAAACAAAAGTTAATCTAAAAAAGATCATCTACTGCTTTAAACTGTGTATACTCCTACTTCTGTACTCTGTGAAAATAAGAAATAGACCATGAACTCTTAAGGTCTTTTTTCTTCCAGCTCCAACTTCCTGCCCTCTTTTTTCAGTCCCTCTGTCTTTCTTTATCCCTCCACGTTGTCTTCTATTTTGGCTTTTCTTGGCCACCTACCTCACACTTATATTCTCTCAAACACACACACAGCGCATGAATGCACACAGAGATACACACAGACAGAGGTTGCGTTGCAGGAGTTGTGCTAACCAAGGTAACGGATCCAATGCAGCATCAGCATTTCTATTTTTAAAGTGTGCATTTATCTGAAGTATATTATCACATTTTGTTATGAAGTGAACTCACTCACCTAACCCTGAACAACTCACAGAGCAAATGAACCATAATATCCCACGCCTGTGTGCTCTTATGGAAATATATACATAAACAAACAAACACACACACACACACACAGAAATACTTACAGATACTGTGCAGTTGAAGCAGGCAATTTGGCTGGTAGGTCTGGACTCCATGCCATTTCTGGACTTTGTTGAGTCACACAGTTGGCATTGTCGCCCTCAGGGTTACATCTCACAAAGTTATACACAGCAGTTCGGGGTGCTCCTATAGAGAGAGATAGATAGATAAAGTCATTGATGTTTGTTGAATGTTTTTTCTTTTCTCACACAACATTTTAGGCAACAAATAACTTATAATAACTTATAATAATAAAAATGCTCTTGGGCAGCATCTGGTTGCTCATCTGGATCAGTTCAATGTGACAGTTAAGGTTTACTAGTTGCATATTTGGGTGTATTGGAGTGTTTCAGGAGATTACAACATTATTCTGCAACAGGATACAGTCACAGTTGGCACAATGGGCTTCAGAGCGCCTTCTTTTTTTCACTGATGTGTTATAGTAGGAAGTAACGGCATCACAGCTTTTTCTTAACACATCTCAGCAAGCTGATTATGGATCTTATCTGATGCTAAAAGCATTAACGGTTATTTTACACCAGTGCCCAGCCTAAAGAAACTAGCTGACAGCTATCAAGTGTTTTATTGCAACAAGAATAGCACTACTGCATTAACAGTCCCTCGAAGTAAAAATAAGTTAATATAAAACAAAATTCATGTCAATCGACTGATTTTCCTGTTTTGTCCTGTTGGGCTCTTGGCATTGTTTAAACCTTTAAAGATATAATGGTTCTTGGAAAATCTTTAATACTAATGAAGCATTTTTAAATGTAAAAACAAACATTGTTTTCCTGCTGAAAAGGTGGTTCTATTGGTAATCTACCACCATCTATCATATAGGCTATTAATATTAATTGTATATTAATTGTATTCATTGAAACTGCAGGTGTTTTAAGATGGCTGGCTTTCTGTGATGAATAGTTTGTATCGTGTGTATCCGTAAAAAGAACATTAAGAGTGTCACTAAAAAGGCAGATGGCGTAATCGGTTGGGGTCAAGTATAGATTTTGGTTGTGCCTGTTACGTGACACCTACAATAAAATAAGGCGTCAATTTATAATTTCCTTTTTAATGCTAATTATATACTAATAAAAGTCTTTATTTAGCTGTTTGTCTTATTTAGGCCTATAAAAACTGGCCTAATCCAATAAATCCAAAAAGTACAAGGGTTTTTTCTCTCTCTCTCTCTCTTTTAACTAAGATTATAACCTGCATTAATGTATTCATTGGGAAATGAATCTCATTAGTGGTCTACACATATAAAAACGCATACCCCTGGAATCATAGGATAATCATAGGATAACATTTGGATATTATTGGATATAGCGTTAATAAATAGCTTTAAATAGAGTCTATAAGAAACACATTGAGTATATAGATATATATATATATA